ACGACACCCACGGGTAGTAGAATTGCGGTATGGCTATTATAAGCCGACTTAACACGGCTACTGTCTTTTTCTTCTTCAACAGCCACAATAGTCTTCTGCTGGACATAAGTACACTCCCTCGATTGGGGTATTTGTCATACGGGATACCGTCGTTTTGCATATTGTTGAAGTTCCTAATATAGTTTGGCATAACACGGTTCGCATAAATTTCTTTGTCATACTGTTTGTTCGGCATAAATTTTATATGTCATACGCATTTATAGTCATACCATTAGCTTGACCTATTTTCTTTTAGACTAATTTTGAGTCGCATAATTGTCTGTCATAAATCATAATGATCAATGAGAAATATATTTTAATGGAAGACATTAGATTCAAACACATCTTGCTGTAAATTAGGCGTGTAAGGGCCGGCGCACATAGACCGGACGCCGGCGACACTTTTCGCGCGACGCCTCTTGGTCGCGGAGCACACCAAGCGGCATTCTTCCGCGCGGCGTCGCCACGTGGCGCGTGCGTCCGCCGGTTCGCTAGACAGTGTTGCCCGCTAATCTTATTAAAAATAAATTGGGTGGTTCAGATGAATCCAACCTATTAAAAATTAAAGAACATTACGTTACGATTGTCACTGAACTAATTTTTGCCACGTTTGAAAAAAATGGTCATTTGTGTGGCTCGTTGGTGTTTGATGGATCGTATGGGTTATTTGTATGGGTCGTTGGTATTTGTTAGGTCGTAAGGGTTTATTACGTGGGTCGTTGATGTTTGATGGGTCGTTAGAGTTTCTTACATGGGTCGTTGGTATTTGTTGGGTCGTAAGGGTTTATTACCTGGGTCGTTGGTATTTGTTGGGTCGGGGCTTATTACGTGGGTCGTTGATGTTAGATGGGTCGTAAGGGTTTATTACGTGGGTCGTTGATGTTTGATGGGTCGTTAGAGGTTCTTACATGTGTCGTTGGTGTTTGTTGGGTCGTAATGGTTTATTACATGCGTCGTTGATGTTTAATGGGTCGTAAGGGTTTCTTATGTGGGTCGTTGATGTTTGATGGGTCGGGGTATTACGTGGGTCGTTGGTATTTGTTGGGTCGTAGGGCTTATTACGTGGGTCGTTGGTGTTTGATGGGTCGTAATAACCCTTACGACCCATCAAACAGCAACGACCCACGTAATAGACCTTAAGACCCATCAAAACCAACGACCCACGTAATAAACCCTACAACCCAATAAACATCAACGACCCACAAAATAAACTCATACGACCCATCAAACATCAACGACCCACGTAATAAACCCTTACGACCCAACAAACACCAACGATCTACGTAAGATACCCTTACGACCCATCAAACACCAACGACCCACGTAAGAAACCCTTACGACCCAACAAACATCAACGACCCACGTAATAAACCCCTACGACCCATCAAAAAACCCCAACGACCCACGTTATAAACCCTTAAGACCCAAAATACACCAACGACCCACGTAATAAACCCTTACGACCCATCAAACATGAACGACCCACGTAATAAACCCTTACGACTTATCAAACATGAACGACCCACGTAATAAACCCTGTTGACTCATCAAACATGAACGTCCCACGTAACAAACCCTTACGACCCAACAAACACCAACGACCCACGTAATAAACCCTAACGACCCAATAAACACCAAGGTTGTAGGTACTTATATTATAAATATTTATTCAAAACAATGTTTAGATATTTTTTTTTTATTTATTTTAGTAATCGACACTTTTCTTTGAGAAACATTATCTTTTTTATTTCTATTGTGATGGCAACACCGGGAGAATGTCCGCTTGCGGCCTTGGGCCGCCCGGCGGATGCAAGCGCACTCAAGAGGCGCCGCGCGGAGTCGCGCGAATTCGCGCGGCGCCGCGCGAACAAATGGCGCTCGGACTTTTTTCCGCCGCCGGCCATTATCGCCGTTACGTCAGTTGCGTACGGTTCATTTTCCGATTTCTCTGTTAGAGTCGCGCGACGGCGCGCGGAAAAGTGTCCACTCTGTCGGCGGCGGCCCTAACGCGTACATAAACTGGGCGCGTGCGAGCGAAGCGAGCACGAGTTCGGGGCACCCCGAATTGGTAAGGTTAGGTTCAGCAGGCTATGACGGAAGTGAGCAAAGCGAGCGTAGCAAGCTGGCTCGCTTCCGTCATAGCCTGCGGGTAAGGTTGACATGTATGCATGCCTGCTTGTGCTTCATTGCATGCATGCAATGCATGCTGCTTGCTTGATTGCTTTCTTGCATGCATGTTGCTTGCTTGCTTGCATGAATGGCTGCCGCTGGCTTGCTGGGATGGGGGGCACAGCGACAGTAAAAAAATAACCTATTGCCCATTTTCGGAAGTTTAGAGTGGGTTAGAGTAGTATGCTTGCCTTTTTTTAGTAGTGTTTTTGAATATTATGCGTTATTAATATTATGCGTTTTAAAAATGACGCTAATGTATAATATGCCTATTTATCATTATGTTTGTTGAAGTTATGACTTTTTAGTATATGCTAAAACGGTTATGCGTATTAATATTATGACTTGAATTCATTATGACTGTTGATCATATGCCTAGTAAAAATATGACTTAAAACTTTATGCAACCCGACCTCAATCCTTGTCATACACCACGGTCACCACACTTGGCAGGCGGATTGGTGAGCGCAATGTAAGATTTTGCATTTACGGGAAACGCTGCAGTCCACTCTCTTAGTGAATTTATCCCTTAGTCGCTTTTTACGACACCGAGGGGTAGAATTGGGGTGATGCTATTCTAAGCCGGTATCACATGGCTTGTAGGTATAATCTTAATCAAATAAATCCATTTCATTGTTTTGTGTACCTATAAGTAGGTACCTACATACTTTATTGTTACCTTAGATGTGAACTATCATTTTATTTATACCTACCTAGATGCTAACTAATGAATGCATCTTCTAATATCTACTACATCTTAATGTGACTACATGATGCCATCTCATCCCTTAACATCTACCTATTAATTTATAAGGTACATCGGGGGTGTAAGGCCCCCAGTCTTCGAAGGCCCAAACGCAGAAAACCGTTTAAAATACGTTCGGTTGGCGCCAAATTCATAGCAAGCGTAAAATGAACCAATAGGAACTCAGGGATGCGAGAGCGGGCCGCGTGCGGCCGCTATTTTGCCAGTGACGGCTGGTTGTTCGGTGACCTCGGGCACGGCCAGTGTTTTTGCTATTTTGCGCTCCCACTAAACAGTAGTTTTCAATATTTAATACTGCAATTTATTAGTAGATTATTGTTGAATGTGTTTATTTATTTATCATTCCATTGATATTCGTGTAGGTATGTCTGGTTTTAACGCTATTTTATTCATAAATTGTGAAAATTGGTTGCAAGGCCCCGATCGGTTAGGAAGGCCCCACAGGGTAGTTGCTTGGGCCTTACAAGCCCTGTTGGGGCCTCTCTACACTGTTGCTGTCTTATAAGGCCCATAAATTTTTTGAATTGAAGTTACCTTACATCTACTTATGTTATTAATAAAAATAAATTTTGACACCACATTTTTATTTTGGGCCTTGCAACCCGCAATCGGGGCTATCCAAACCATATACCGGTAATAAGGCCCAATGTATGAAAAATTAAAATCAAGTAACTTTAAAAATTTATACCTTTTTCTAAGCTAAACAAAAATATTTTTGGGATTAATGGCTAATTTTTTGCACTTAGCTCCTGAAATTTCGATTGCCAGGCTGTTTTCTTCCTCACTGAGAAAGTGACGTCTTTTTGGAAAATATTGATGATTTCACAACTTTTTGCTTTTATTTAGGTTCAATAATATGTAAACATTCATATAAGTGTACTTTTTTTTGTAATTAACGCTTACTTTAACTCCAAACGTAATAAAATTGGCAGGGGCCTTATAACACATGCCCAGTTTAGGAAGGCCAAAAATCGATGTTTTCAAAAATGATCAAAATTGTAACTTTTTATTGTCTAAATCATAAAAAAATCATATAGGTCAATTAATAGTAAATTTTGCTATACGTTGCAAACGTTGTTTTACCTGAGGGTGATAAAATAAAGGTTTTATTTCGGTTTGTTGTTAGGTGGGCCTTATTACCCGGGTCTACCTTACTGTTGTTTTGTAGCTGAATTAAAGAAACATTTTATTTTATAGTAGTTGTTCTTAAAAAGCAAGAAAGATTATCATTATCATCAAGATTCCGCGTCCGTGTCGAACTTTCGTGCGCGAATCCAAGCGCTCGCTTTTGAATGTCAGTGAAAACTGTTGCAAGAAAGCATGACATGTTCAATCAAAGCGTCCACGCAATCAAAAAGAGTGCCCGAGGCACTCTCTTTGAACATTCGTGCACGAATCCAAGCGTTAATAAAATGATAGTTCACATCGACTATTTGACCGTATTTTTACGGCCGGTATCGCTCTGCCTACCCTCAACGTAGGTAATTAGGCGTGGTATTGTGCGATAGTGTTATTTATTTTTAATATTGTAGATTTTTGGGTACTGTTTCGATTACGATTAAAAAAAACTACTGCTAATATTTTAAGGGGTGAACAAGCCCATGAAACTGAACAACTTTCCCTAAGGAACATAGGTCAAAATATATAAAAAAATTGGACCTCCCATACAAACTGACTCGCTCGAGTATTTTATTATGCGAAGAGTCTAAAAACTTGTTTCATATTTTGACATAGGTATGTTCCTTGGGGACAGTTGTTTAGTTTCATGGGCTGGTTCACCTCTTAAAATATTTGCAGTAGGTATATTTCTAAGGTGACCACGGTTACTCTTTTTGAGAATGGTTGCATACCTACGCCCTTTGCTGACCCAAGTAGGTACAAGAAATAAAAGACAGCCAAACGTGCCCTTCGATGCAAGGAACCCTATTTCTTTTCGGACAATCAGATGGTTTAGCCTGCTTTGTCTTAAACCGACTGGAAACAAATTTACAAAGTGATGTGATAAATATCAACCTTGTGAGTGACCCACCCACCGAGAATCGAACCCGGAACCTTCTGCATTGCAGGCAGTCGCACTTCCACTGCGCCACATCGCAGTCGCCATTAGTTTAATTATTATTTATTACTTACCTACTTTTAAATAAATAAAATATATGATGCAAATGAAATCTTTTTATTTCAAAATTTATCTTACTTCAAGCAAAATTAAATTAACCAACCTAAAATAATCATTAGATAGCACCACTATTATATATTTTAACACAACTATAGGTATGCAAACATCGTTTATTACTAAGGATTTCCAGAACATTAGGAACTTACATAAACATAATCAACAATAAGCCACCATGATGAATGAAAATAAGATGCTTATTATTTTCATATTACTATAAATTAACAAAGTACATTAATAGGTAGTAATTTTACCTATCTTCTAATATTTCATTTATCTCTTCTTCAATTCTATTCTGCTGAAATTGCAGTGCTTTCTAAAAGCTTTTGCTTTATTTATTTTTCAGTAGTCTCTTCATGAGTGGTCATTTTTCTGAAAAATTAAGGAAGATACTTTAATAAAATAATGGATATAGGTGTTAGGTGTCAGAGGCTTGTTAGTTTCAGTAGGCGGTTGAAAAACTCTGACACTATGGTTCATCGAGTCGTTGGACGACTTGGTGTCCCACTCGTAGAAGAAGAAGAAGGTACTATTGTTACTTGGCAGAAATGGACTATATTGGTGATTAGTTTTAAACTGGCTGTGAAAGTCATTGGTTGGGATCTCCCTCCTCGAAGTCATCCAGTCGTTCTTTCACCAGTTGTTCTGGCTGTGGACTACACCATGTTCCATTGAAGTTATCGTAACAGACGCCTTCTTTGCTTTGGTCCTACCAAGTCTGAAATGATGAAAAATAATTGGTAAGCTGTGTGCATCACACTTCATCATAAGTGTTCATAATCTGATAGTTCATCAAGTATAGTATCAAGCGTTTTCTTACTTACGCAAAAGACTCCATTCGTCCCAATGATATTATAATGTAGGGTTCGTCCAACGTTTCAAAACAATTATTTTAAAAGTGGCATCTGTCAAGTCAACATCAGTGTCAACATAGAACAATAATTAGGCCGAGCGCACATCTACGTCTACAGACTGTTTAGACTCACGCCGACAAGACGTGTCGCAAGACCATCGTGTCGTCCGTACCGCGCACATCACGACTAAACAGTCTGCAGATGTTTTGTCGCGAGATTGCATAATTATACGGGCTATTAACTCGACGTCTACATGCGCCTAGTTTGCGATAATACAACACATCATAATATTTCATCAGTAGCTATTTAAAAAAAAATTGCTATTTTATCATTTCTGCTATGGAGTTCACTCGTATTTTCCCATTGTAACCAGTGATCGCCCTCGTCACGGGGACAACGAAACGTCATAGATTTGACATTCCGATGTCCCCGTTAAGAGGATGAAACCAAAGTTTTAATCGCGAATACGTATAATTTTTGCCTCAAAGTAAAGGTTTGATAGGGTGGGGCAAAGCGTGGCATGATAAGATATTCCCCTAGCCTGCCCTACCTTTTCCCACTCTTAACGGGAAAACTTTTACCGGGGACAATGGGGATAGCTTCAGTATAATTTATTTTAGAACAAGATGGCGTCACATAGTCCACGAAAAGTTATTCGACGAGGTCACGACCCTCTGCATTGAGAATATACGACTCAAGAAGGAGGACGCCTTTTCTTATCCTATCCAATCTTGCGTTGATAGCGAAAATAATATGAACACGCGATTTCCACTTTGACCCTATCCTCATACGGGGACCACGGGAAGTTAAATCTATGACGTTATCGCTTATCCCTGGTGAGCATGTCCTCATCACGGGGACAACGAGACGTCATAGATTTGACTCCCGTGGTCCCCATGAGGATAGGAAAACTGGAAATCGCGTGTTCATATTATTTTCGCTATCAACGCAAGATTGGATAGGATAAGAAAAGGCGTCCTCCTCCTTGAGTCGTATATCCTCAATGCAGAGGGTCGTGACCTCGTCGAATAACTTTTTCGTGGACTACGTAACGCCATCTTGTTCTATCTTCAGTGGCATGTATGGCCTCGCAAACTGTGGTGCCCAGCTGTGGTCTTCTGCCGTCTACTTTGCCCGTTGTTAATAGTTTTTCAAGGTTGTCGCCTTTCTTCCGGGCAGAAGCTTCTTCGCAGGCATCTGGTGGTGAGTCTCATGGGTACCTTAAGCTCTGATAGTATGGACTCATTGGTCCAATGCTCTGTTCAGTGCACCCCGAGCATCATTCTCCAACACCACATTTCAAATGCAGCAATGCGCTTGTGGTCTGCTTTCTTCAGCGTCCAGGTATCAGTTTGATGATACTGCAACGATTATTGCACTATCATCAAATGTATCGGGCTGTTTTCAATGTATTTTAATTGTTTATTTTAGTATGTGAGTGTTATTGCCCCCTGAAGATGCTTATTTAAGCGAAACCGGTTGGGACGAAAATAAAAAATAAGTGAAACGAGTACAAGTGTTTGAATCGAAATCATAACCAATAAAGCTCCCATACATTTTGTATGGGAAGTCCAAATTTTTTTTGATCATGCTCCATGGGGAAAGTTGTTCAGTTTTATAAGTACCTTAACCTCTGTAGCGGACGAGCTGGTAATCAGTAAGAAAAAGGGAAAACAATATCTAAAGCGTGTAAATATCTCTATTAAATAAAATTAGTAAAAAATACAAAGAAACCATATCAAAACCACATGAAAAAAGCAATCAGTCAAAAGGTAAAGTCTATAAAACCAAAAATATCAAAAGAGGTTCATCGCGTCGTTCACACCCCCTCCAGTGCCTGGTCCAGGCACCCCAACACATTTCACGACGCGCTGGCATCTGGGGCTGGTGCTAAGCGGCGACTAGACGGACGCTACGACCCTCAGGTTGGCTTGTCTTGTGCCTTGTCTTGCGTGTCTGACGTGTCTTGTACCGTGCCATTCTTTGCTGCGTGCTGCTTGTCTTGTTGGGTCTGTCTCAGTCTTGCAATCTCTGGGGTGCGTCTGCTGCGATGGCTCTGCTGCTGATGCTCTAATAATCTTCGCTGCATACAGCGGGCCGCTGCTTGCTACAATAATCTATGCTGCATACGCTACAAATTCTGTGCTGCTTGCAGCGAGCCCCTGCTTGCTGCAACATATTCTGTGCTGCTTCTGCTACACTTATCTAAATTCTATGCCACGTTTAACGGCGTCTCTCGCTTGCAGCAGTGGCGTTTTATACTAAACGCAGCATCTTCCTGCTTGCGGAATTCAGCGTCTTGAATTATTGCACAACAGAATTATTTGGCTAACTTTCTCATCATAACACGTTCTACTTCTGGCGTCTGCAGCGTGAATACGGACTGTATTTGACGGCGGCACATCACTAGTTGCGGTTCTTGATGCATGTATGGGGTGCAGTGGGAGTGCAAACGACGGATTCGGAAATTCTAAAAGTATTAAAGTTACAAAAATTATACAATAAGAGTTAAACTCAAATAGAAATTAAAAGTAGCAACATTTAAAATTATCTAAAAAGAGTTATTTTCTAAATTCTTATTCTTTGTTGGCCGAGTGAGTCAGGGAAAATGCAGGAGCTGCACCTCACCCCCTCCACTGACTGCACTCGGTCTGTGGAGAGAAATCTTTAGTAAGTGTGCGATCGGTGTGCTTAGTACAGGGCGTGCTGCTTGCTGCTATAATTTTGCTGCTAATGCTGCAATAATCTGCGCTGCGTACAGCGGGCCGCTGCTTGCTACAATAATCTATGCTGCATACGCTACAAAATCTGTGCTGCTTACAACGGGCCGCTGCTTGCTGCAATAAATCTGTGCTGCTTATGCTACACTTATCTAAATTCTGCGTCTTTTGCGTGCAGCAGCAACACAGGGTAACTTGAACGAAGCGGAGAAGCTTCAGACCTTTTAGGTATAGAACTTCGGTTGTTAACCCAAATACCTATAAACCTCCAAGTGATAGGTGAAACATACGTGCAATTAATTAATTTATGAAGCTGGCGGGTTGTCCAGCCCCACGGTCTGGTTCATTCACAACAAGAACAGAAAAATCTACGTATCTTGCTGTTCCTGTCGTGGACGGGCTGAACGAATGCCGGCATTTATCTTATCTACAAACCTACGAACAAACATTTGTGCTTTTCCACTCGTCTCCTGCCCACTGTACTAGCCTGGAACTCATCACGCTCTTACCGTTTCTATCACAGCTTTAGATTCTGTTTTCCAAAATATTTCCAAATAATATTTTATCTGTCAGATTTTGTACAAAACAATTTTACGATTTCATGAAAATATAATTCGGCAGGACCAAAAAAATGTAGCGGACGAGCTGGTAATCAGTAAGAAAAAGGGAAAACAATATCTAAAGCGTGTAAATATCTCTATTAAATAAAATTAGTAAAAAATACAAAGAAACCATATCAAAACCACATGAAAAAAGCAATCAGTCAAAAGGTAAAGTCTATAAAACCAAAAATATCAAAAGAGGTTCATCGCGTCGTTCACAACCTCCTAAAGCTGAAAAGCTTTATTGGTTGTTTTGTAACACCCAGTATAAACAGATAAAAACTAAAATTTGTTGGAACATGTTCTGTCATCAAAATTTCATGAAGGTATCCTCTAACATTTTTTTTAATATACTTCTTTCATTACTTTCTTTCATTTTTAATATACAGACTTTCGTGCAGACTGTTTAGACGTAGATATGCGCTCGGCCTTACGCCAAGATCAAGTTGAAACTTTAGTTGAAAAGTTTCGATCCGTTTGTCTGTGGAAATTATTGGTTTTTAGGGTTTCGTAGTCTTATAGAAACACTTATCATTTCGTCAAGTCTGTCTGTCTGTATGTCATGCCTGTCGTGCCTCTTCGTCAGTTTTAAAGCTACCGACATGAAATTTGGTGAGAAGGTAGATCGTGTTGTCCCAAATTTAGAAATTTAACAAATGTTTTTTGGACCCCCTCCTACAAAACATCTCCTAATATATTGAGTAGGATATCGTTGAATAGGTCTTGTAAAAGTAAGGTGAGGTTTC